GACACCTCAGTAACAAAAGAGTGGCCAAACTTCCTTAAATAGGACATTTCTTTCTATTGTTTCACCCAACATACAAGCATACTTCAATCATATCCAGACTGGGTTTCAGCAAATCAGTTTTAATTGAATGGCAGCTGATTGATTTGAGACAACACTTGATCTTTGTCCATTGCCAGGATGAACTGCCCCAAGCAAGTAGCTAAATACATTCATTTTTTGTTTAAGATTAAACATGCATTCTTTTGTATTTTGTATCCAGTAAGTTACTTCACACATATTTAAATTAGTGGAAAGTTGTTGGTGAATCCACTTATTTTGGATTTCTCACAAATATACCTGACACTATTTATAAAGTAGAGTTTTTAGGAATATTAATTGAAGTTATCACAAATGGTCAGTTTTCCCCATATGGACAATCTTACCCAAGTTTGACAGAGTTTGCCTGGTGAACTATGATTACAATACAGATTCACTACTGAAGTAGAAACAGAAACTGATTATTGTACTTCATAAAGTCTAATCTTTGTTACAGTATCATTAGCCCTCTCCACCACCTTGAATACAACCCATTTCCCAAAAGAGAAATTTTTGGGATCAATGAAAGTTCCATTTGCAGATGACTTACAAGTCCTCAGAGCAAGCAAAATAAGTTACAAAAGCTACATTTTTTGATCCAAATAAATAACTACTCTTCTTATTTGAAGCATACTGATTCAGCCATGTTATACATAAATACATTGCTCTAATTCAGTGGTTCCCAACCTTTTCAATCTGTTAAAATTTTACAGACCTCCCCAAGGGGAGAGGTGGGAAGCGGTGGCCAGCACATCCCTTGGCCCGCACTGCTTCCTCAGCTTCCACCTCCTCTGTCCCCTGCCCATTCATGGAGGATACGGTGAGGGGGCTCTCATGGCCAAAGGCAGCTCCTGCACCAGCACTCCACCGTTGGCTGGGCACGGAGCCCTGGGGGAGAAAAAAAAGGAAAGGAAAAGAAAAGTAAGGATCAGGCCCACTGTGGGGACTGGGAAGGAGAAGAGGGCTGGAGTGTAAATGGCAGCACAAGCTGGCAGTGGGACGACACACAGTGCATCCTGGGGTATCAAGATCCCATCCTGAGGGCGGGAAGTAGCGTGCGTGCAGCCAGTCACGAACAGGGAGTCCTGGGTGAGAATTGCCTGGCAGAAAGTCCCATTCCCGCGGTAGGCCTGATCCTTACTTTTTTCTTCCTTTCCTAAACTTTCCACGGACCTCCAACATTACCAACATGGACCCCCAGGGGTCCGTGTACCACAGGTTGAGAACCACTGCTCTAATTCAATGTCTCTTAAAGTGGTCTGCGAAACCACTTTGAGAAACATGTTAACTGGCTGCTCCGGATTGTTTACTTACTAGCGCCACAGTCACGGAGCCTCTTGGCTCCCACAGGCTCTGTTTCACCAGTGGCAGCCAAAGGGAGCCATGGGAAGTAGACACCCAGCCAACGCCGCTTCTCACAGCTCCTCTTGGCTGCATATAGCGAAATGAAGCCAATGGAGCCACGTGGACCACTTTGAGAAACATTGCTCTAATTTAACCCAGTACAAGTCTATTCCATTGCAATTTATGATGGACAACTGAAATATCATTTTTTCTTCACCATCACAAATCAGGATAAAAGAGAAGATGAGTATGTGGATTCTTTTTTCTGGTCAGGTATATTACCATGACAATTTAAAAACAATAATTAGTCTGGTGGCACCTTAAAGACTAACAATTTTTTTATGGCAACTCACTTTATCAGCTGCACAAAAGGAAAGGAAAAAAAATAGATAGCAGAAGTACAGAGATGAGAGAGTGTTACATCAGAGCTAATTCAATCAGGGTGATATAGATAAAATGAGAATACTTAAAGTGGAAAATACTTATGGTAATGAGAGAGCCATTCCCAATCTCTATTCAGACCCATTCCGATGATGTCAAATAGAATCTGAATGGGTCTGAGCACAGACTGGGAATGGCTCACTCATTATCTTTAGTAATTTTCCACTTTATGTATTCTCACCTTATCCACATCTATCCACAACAGACCAGATATTTCTGCCGTCTCACCAAATATTGTCCTTAAAGGTATCATGAATATTTTCTGAGAGAGAAACCTATAATCAGTTTCCACAGAACTTGGTCTTAACACATGAAATCTATCCCACTATGGAAGGGCCTACAAAAGCCCACTGAAGTATCTGTTATGCAGTGGGTGGTGGCAAAAGGATGAGGATGAAAATATGTGCAAAGGGAGCCCTCTCTATGCTACCTGGACGTGGAAAAGGTTTTCCCTAAACCTTCCTACATTAGTTGTGCATAGACAGGAGTGAGGCCACTATTTCAGTGGCCAGGAATCTCTCATATGTATGCAATGATGTTTTAGTTCAGAACCTAGAATAGTGCCCTTGGAAGATCTGTGCTGCTATCCAAACGAGTAGCCCAGTAACAGATTAGTGTGTAGACACGGGGTAAAGCAGAGGTCACCAACCAGTAGATTGGGATCTACTGGTTGATCTTGGAGTCTCTGACAGGTGATACTGAATGGTTTGGCTGGGAAGCTATCAAGTGCAGGCACTTCAGATGCCCCTCCACCCACTGCCCTGCTGCTCCTGCCCTCTGCCTTGGAGCTGCCCCCCGGGGAGCCTCCTGCTTGTTGTGCAGGGTGTAGGAGGGAGAAGAGAGAGGGCGCTGATGTCAGGGTGTCCCTCCTCCTCCCACTGATATCAAGGTGACCTCCCTGCCTTAACTCCTGTGCCCTATCTCTACGTAGAGAGAAGGGGATGGAGGGAGCTTGGCAATGCAAATCTCTGTAACTCTCATACTCTGTGTGTGTGTCTGTCATTCTCACGAACACACACTGTCCTTTCCTTTCATCTCCCGACCCAACACATATGTGTGTTGGGGTGGGGGTTGTTGTTGTTACTTCTGTTACTGCTAGCAAAGTGGTTTATTTTTAGTTTTGACTGACCCGTTCATTTCATCATTTTCATTTCTCTTACACTTAAATTTAATTCTTTTAGTTTTAAACTATCCATGATTACTACTCCTGGGAATGGCTGGCATGTCCCTGCAGCCCCTGAGAGAGGCAGAGCAGGGGGTCTCACATGCTGTCCTGGCCTGCAGACACCACTCCTGCAGCTCCCATTGATCAGTAATGAGGAACTGTGGCTAGTAGAAGCTGTGGGCTCAGTGCTTGTAGATGAGGGGCAGCACGTGGTGCCATGGAGTCATTGCTGCACATGCCATCTGCTTCCTAAGAGTGGTGCAGAGCCAGGGCAGGAGTAAGCCTGCCTTAACCCCACTGCTCCTCCACCCGGAAGCCATCTCAGTTAAATGGTCCACAGCCTGCTTCCTGAACCCATCCCAGCCCCGAACTTCCTCCTGCACCCAACCTCCTGCCCCAAATGTGAGTCCTCATGCACACAAACTCCTTGCCAGAGATTGCACCCTGAAACCGCTCCTGGACCCCAATCCTCCACCCTGGGCTAAGCCCAGAGCCCCTCAGTCACTCCAAACCTCTTGGCCCAATAACAGAGCCTGCACCCCAGCCTAGTGAAAGTGAGTGAGGATGTGGGAGGGAAGGTGAGCAGAATGAGGCCTTAGAGAAGGGGTCGAGCAGGGGCACAGCCTCAAAGAAGGGGTGGAAAGGAAACAGGGCAAGGTTATTTGGGTTTGAGGTAGCTTTTACATTGCACTTAAACTGAAAAAGCGATCTTGTGGTTAAAAAGGTTGGAGACCACTGGGGTAAAGTTACAAATATACATAAGTGTTTGAAGGACCGAGGCCCATACAAATTATCATATGCTCTGAGGGCTAATATAGTGCTCAGTTAGTAATAAAAATGTTACTCTTCATATCAGGACCACAAGCAGCATGGTAGAAGCACTTACAGCTCTCTGTATGAGGCGAAAAATGAAGAAGTGTAATTTAAAAAGCAAAAAAGCTGTCTTCTGTACTGATCCAGTGTGATCTAAAAGCCACATTCTGATCTTAATCTCATAGGTTTTTTATCAGTGTAACTCCCCTGGGTTAAGTAATCACATTCCAAGTGTAAAAAGAGAGTTAATTTTCTACTGTATGCTGTCTATATTTACATAACTTGCTTACCCAAACTACTATATTATATTAATAGGCATTTAAGAATTTTCTGCTGGTTTATGATACAGGTTTGCTTAGTGGAATTTTTTTCATATTAATTTTCTACCTCATATCACTTTTTGATGAACTGGAAGTTTGTTTTCACAAGTTTATTCCTCAAA